GGAGAAATATTAGACTTGTGTGGTCTCATCGAACACAGTCACCGGCAGACATAAGTCTTGGCCTGGATGTTCGCTGTCTACGCCAGAAGCAATTGTTTTATTTGTCTCCTTGCTCTCACAGATTGAAAGTGTACAGGAGGAACATTCACATATGAGTGACTGGGCCCTTATTTGTCATCAAACGATAGCCAATGGGCTCCAAGATTGACCTGGAAATTCCAGCAATCATAATGTAATGTTTTGTTCTTGGCTTCAAATAAACAGGACTTAACACTGGTGCTGATCAAATTATTACTTAGACATTGCTCTGCCTTTTGTCTTTTAATTCATTTTAAATAATTAAAGTCTTTGCCAGGGTGATTCTCTGCCTCAGAGTTTCTTTGGGTTAAATTTCTGCTGGAAACGGGCATAATATGAAATAGTTGATTCCACCCTGTTTTTCTCATTCACCTCAGGTTGTTGCCCCTACAATCGTTGCAGGAGTAAAAAGGATTGCACAACAGAGTCTAGATTAGTTTAAGTGAAAAGGGCTGACTAGACTTCAGGCTTAAACAAAAAACATAGCTGGGGCTTATGTCAGCAAAAGCAAAATTGGTGCAAGAACATTGATTTTAACTTCCTTTGAAATATAATAAAAATGTTAAAGGTGGCTTTAAATATATAAATTACAATTAGAGTTTGATTTGATCTGTGGAACCTTCGTTATGATCAGTTTAGGGCGTGTGCATACACTTTTCTTTTTGTCTTTACTCGATAGTGAGGAAGCTTCTTTGCATAGTGAGCAAATGTCTGCACATTAATATGCAGAACAGCTCCAAAAGTACTTAGTCTATCATTTCTTTGCTGTTTTAGTGGAGTGAAATATTTCCTGACACAGACCCCATGACTCGCCTGCTTTGCATCGTGAAAAATGACACCCAGTCTCTGTGCAGACAGTTTGTAGACAGTGAGAGCACATAAAATAGCAGGTGGTATGTGTTTTCTCTCTCCCTGAAGATATCCAGACTGCAAATTACTGTCAGCAGTAAATTCTGTCTATATTAACAACAACATTTGAGTGTTGGACAAATTAAATTAGAAATAAAGTTAGAAAAAACCCCACCTGAAACGAGCAGATGCAACAGTAACACTTTAACTGTTTAAAGGTGGCGCTGTGTTGCGTTGACTTGTGTTCGCAGCCGGGGACATCAACACCTACTTCACTGTGTTGCTCTGGAAATCACCAGTAAAGCTGATTGCAGCGATAACAACCGGCTGTGAGCAGAATGGCAATAAAACAGACTTTTCTGGTGATAAACCGAGTGCTGTGAGAATAAGAGAGAGGGTCGACACAACCAGATGTCATTTTGTAGGTGGAGTAAAAAAAAAAGTCCAGGTGTGATTTGGTTTGCACCAAGCGGAGGCAGTGACTTCTGAGCCTTGTGTTTGAGTGCAACTGCTGTTTGTCAGAGAGACTGGGTGGATGTAAACTAGAGCATTAATTCACATGGATGTGTTTATATTGCCACTAAAACTATGACACTTCTAGGTGTGTGTGTTTGCAATCTGAAAAGTATTCTGGAGCAGGAGATACAGTTGACACTGGCAGGAAAGTATGTGCGTGCATGTGTTCTGCACGCTGTACACTTCGCTGTAGCCATGTTCTAGGGCATCCAAATAAGGGAAGAGCCTCTGTGAGTTTGTGCTCGTGCATTTTCAGAGAAAAAAAGGCTGAAGACTGAGGGAAACTTATGAAGAGATGCTGAGTGGTGGGGAAGGGAGAGACCAAATAGATTGTTTGCCGACATTAGAGGGAACATGGAGGAAGAGGTGCCTGTGTGGTGGTGGCTGTGTTAGTGTGTGAGGTAGCCACAGGCATAGAGAAGCCTGATAATGAACACATTGATCTGGTACAGCAGAGAGGAAAGGGCAAACCCTCATGTATTCATGGTGTCTCTATCTTCCCTCACCATTATTTCCGAGCATTTCATTAATAATTTCATAATAAATCTGCCTACTCTAATTGTTCCTCACACCATGTCTCTGTCTAGCCTTAGTTTATTTATACCTTTTGCTTTCTTTTTTCCTTTACTTACTCTCACTCATTAAGTTTGTTTACACATATAAATTATAGATGAAGATGGCATCAAACACAGAACACTGATGAGAGAGTGAATGAGGGGAAAATGCAAGACTTGTGAAGGTAAAACTTCAAAATGCCCCAAGGCCAGCCTCTCTTTAATTTTCACGTTTTTTCCTTGCAGGGAGGTTTTTGTGCTACTTTTAAACCTTTGACCTTGTCCTTGTGGCTCTGTCTTGTGTAGTGCAAATGGGGCAAATATTTGTTGCGAGTTAAAACTTCCTCTGGGATAAAAAATAAAAACGTAACTTTCACTCGGGGTTAAGTAAATCCAAAACATTGTCTACCAACATCATGTTACCAGCTTAAAGGAATTAGCATTTTTGGAAGTATTAGGTTTGTCTGTCCACTAAGGGAATACAATTGCGGTCAACGACATATAGGCAAGATGGCTGCATTGCATTTATCCGTTGGGTGTTTAAGTTGCACAAATCCTCAGAAATGATTATAAGATGCAGTATCCACTAATGGGTCTGGCAGCAGAGAGTCCTTGACAGGGTCAGTCATCAGCCACAGAAATGGCGGAGAGGTTTGAAGACATGCTGTGTTAACAGGTCTGGAATAACCCACATTTGTCTAATGTGTCATTGCCTTTTCTTGCTTGATCTTAACTTTAGCCAAATGTTGATCTCCTCGAGTGTCGCCATCTTTGTTTGTTTGCTGCATTGGAGGTTGGTCAAAGATTGGTCAAAGGTTAAAGAGCTTGTGGCTTTACAGTCTTTAGTCTGAGTGGTGTGCTCGCTACTGAAATCCTCCAGTAACATTAGGACAACAACATTCGGGACGCAGCTGGTTCCCTTCATGTACACGTGGTTAAACACCAAGCATACCGTGGGCCTAAATTAGACATATCTGCAGGTAGCTGGTTAGCAAGTCTTGAAACAGCCATTTACCATTACTTTACACATGTTATGAAATGTTAACAGATTAACATTTATCTAAACATAACGAGCTTGCATTGCCAGTTCTTGTTTGGTTGCCCCATATTAGTCAACGCTTTGATTTTGATCCAGTAAAATAGAATACAACAATCTACACATTTCCGTATTTTCCTCGAGGAGGCAGGTACATGAGGCAGCGGCACACATTATAACATGTTTGCAGATGCTATAAATGGAAAAGAAGATGAAGTCCACTAGTTTGGGAAAGCTCTGCACTTTTGTAGCATGCAGCAGAATCCTTTCTTGTTTTGGTCTGCAGCTTGTAGCCTATAAGAGTACGCAGTGTAGCACATCCGTGTGAATCCCTGTCCCCTCTCCTCCTCGAAGCAGAGATGTGAGAGAACAGAGTCATTCTGTGTGTGTGTGTGTGTGTGTGTATGTGTGTGTGTGTGTTCATCTGCACAGCTGAAAATGAAATCCTCTCCTTCTCTCACTGAGCATTTAAACGTTTGGAAAGTTTTCCTTTTCAAATTCAATTTTTCAATATTAATAATAGCGCATTGGTCCTATGTATTGACAGAGCAGCATATCATCCCCTCTGTGGAATTAGATTTTCTCTTTGTCAACTATAACGTATATAAATAATATATCCTGCTGTCATCTTTGGTCTCCATCTTTGTTCTTCCTTCTCTCTTCTCCTTAGAAGAATGTTAATGAGTCCTGCCCTCATCCACACCTTCACTTCTTACTGTTCACGTCTCGTTTCAGCTCTGTGACCAACAGTAGCTCGCTTTTCACTGTTGCTATTCGCCCGACCGCATTGATCTCCCTGCTTCACCTCCCTCCCTCTCTCTCTGTCACAGTGCCGGTAATGAGGTGTGTGTCTGTACAGTTTGTTTATTGTCTGACTTCCTTCTCCCAATTATGGGATTCCTGAGTGATTGTGCCGCAGCAATTATTCCAAGTCACTCTTGGTTTGACTGTGAGTTAAATGCCCAAATTATGGCTGTAAATTCAGTCCATCCATGGCTTGTTTTGTGTGTGTATACACTCAGTTGTTTTGTGAGAAAGACACAGGGATCCATCCATGAACCATCTATTTAGATTTTTAAGCTGCTGTACCCACGACGTCCTCAGGGACTGGCTTCATCTCTTCACTCTGAGCTCAGGTTGGTTGCATCCTTGTGCCTTTGTAAATAAAAGGGACACTTGGAGGCTGGCGTGTGAGTGGCAGTGGATTTTTTTTCTTCTTCTTTTTAAATGTCACTACAAACTCTTGACATTTTCATTCATATACAATGACATTTTTGACCAACTTAAAGAAATAAGCTCTCCCCACCGTTTACATTCCTTCACTCTTCCTCTGTGACATTAAACAGCGCTTAACACATCTGAAGCCGCTTCAAGGATATTAACATATTTCACTCAATCCCTCAACTCACTTCTCTTATGCTTTTCTTCCGACCAGTCTCTAACCATTCATTATTGTGTCAATCTTACCTCCAATCATCTCCCCGCGTTGTTAAGATGGGCATACAACTGTGAAAAAACATTAGCGACAAATTAAGTAATGAAATTCACTCAAACAATTATATCTTTCCTCTCCCCTCTTTCATTCGTTCTCGCTCTCTGTGTTAATTTAGAGAGCTTAATTGCTGGGATAATACTTTTGAGGTAAACAAACAACGACAAAATAGAATTGGAATGTAATTACTTTCATGAGTTGACTTTCTCTGTCTGTTCCACGTGTGTGTGCTGGTCTGAGCTGGGGTTGAGCCGTGTTGAGGATACTCGATTCCTTTCTTTCTGTGTTTACCAGTGTGCTGTGTTTTGTTTAATATGTTGTTCTTAAGTGAGATGATTTTTTTGAGTGTTTAATTTGCCGAGCACATTCTTGACACTCTTCTCTTTAAAATAAATTTGCTTTGTGTTTATATTTGTATGAATTTAAGAATTTCCCAAAGTAAAAGAACTCCTCCTTTGTTTCTCTCCACCCTTAGACAAACATCCCGTTCCTCCAGAATGTTCTGTCCAACCACCAGTTCCTCCACTCCACCGTGGACACCCAGTTCATCGACGAGAACCAGGAACTGTTCAACCTCAAACCCACTCAGAACCGAGCCCAGAAGCTCCTGCACTACCTGGGTCAGTGTATTAATAACACACACAACCACTGAACAGAAATTAATCCATATTTTTAAATCTAATCATTTTCCAAATCTCACTGTGATATTCCTATCTGATATTCAGCAGTACATTTTCTGTTGCTGGTTCAACCTTATAAATAAATGCAGTGATTATAAGGAACCACATTTCTGCAAAAGAGCTATAACTTCATGGTTGTTTCTCTCACTTTAAACTTTTACCCAAGAACTAACTGCAATGTAATGTAGTTGCACTGTGGTGATTTAAGTGAGAGGGAGCGTATAATGGATTCAATAAAATAATCCGAAATTCGGGACCCAAGAGTGAAAGCGAGTGCATATGATTTCAGTTTTATGACCTTAAGTTCAAACAATGTAAGATAAAGGTACCACTGCTCCATGTACCACACTCCAATATGTGAAATATTTCAGCTTTCAAGTCCTGAAGTCTTGAAATTCAAAATTTCTCTATGTGTGATGTGCTGAAGCCCTTTCCCTGTAAGAAATATTAGAGGACACGTCTAACAAATTGTGACAAAAAGGTTCAGCTCTGCAGATTTTGTGTCATCTAGCAATGAAGCTATACATTATTACCAACTGAATAGTCATCACCTCACCTCTCCCGCTCCAAGCGTCGAGACAAAACCTGTAGTGGCCTTCCAATAAAAATTTAAATGTGTAAAAAGACCCTCTCTATAGAGTCTGTGTTTGATTTATACATTCTGGGCTGATGTCGAAATATTGTGGACTTTTAGAAAGAGGTCCAGCTCCTTGGGGCTCATTCTAAAGTAACAAAAACACAATGATTGGTAGCTTCAGGAGATTATTCACTAATTAAAACATAATTAAAAAGATCATACTCAAGTTCTGCTGATAGACGTAAAACTCTTGCACACTTGACCTTTAATTGCCTAAATGCTGCTGCTTTATTCTCTTCAAGTGTTTTCTTGAACATCGTTTGTTACATATGTTACAGGACTGCATCTGACTCTTGTTCTCTATTTGTATATTCACAAATAGGTCATGTGATGGTAAATGGACCAACTACACCCATCCCTGTCAAGGCCAAGCCCTCCTCCACAGACCCTGTCATTCCTCCTGTCACCATGGGTATGTCTGTCAAAAGCAAAGGGTTGTTCCACTTGAAATTGTTGTTACCCTACCATCATCATGTCACAGTGCATTATTATTATTTCATGTATAACATTTGGTCTAAATGAGCCAGCACTGCCACTGTAAGGGTTGGGGGGTTTCATTCCTCCAGAGGTACAATGCTAAAAATGTAAATACTGGATCTGCTGGGCACTTTGGTTTAAAGCTCCGCCTGAATGACAAATGAGCTGTCGAACAGTCTGATAGCTGTAGGCAGAAAGGGCCTCTCTAAATGGTACAGTTTAGCACTTGAGGGAGGAAAAAGGTTTTGGCCAGGGTGCTCTGCTGAGCTGTGAGTACAGCAGTAAGAGGATGGAGCTCATTGTTTGTGAAGGCACGAGTTCTTGTGCTTCTCACCTTGCTCTGCACCAGCAACCCTGAAATCTCAGAGGAAAAGAAACGGCCAAGTTATTTGATGTGCTCATTAAGTCACAAAGTTTATACCTGACATCAGCATGCATTTTGAAGAAGATGAACATCCTCTTGCCCTCTCAGATTGTGCAAAGTGGCTGTGTTTACAATATCAGAATTTTTCAACAAACTGTTGGAGACGGTGTCAAATATCTTGGATAATTTGCTTTGCCTGGACCGTGCCAAGATTTTTTCTCCTATAATTTATCACGAACTAGGCGCAGAAATTGCATTGCAGAATCAAATCAACGTCACATTTGGTCTTGGAGGCAGAATTGAGATGTTTGTGTTTCTTTGTAGAGCAGGTCAGGGTGAGCTCCAATCACAAGCGGTCACTCAAGATACTTGTGGATAAACATTGTAATGCCAGGTGTGAACTGATATATGTCCAATAGGTTGTAAATAACAGGTATGAACAGCGTTTCTGGAGCCAAGAGTGTTTTTCGCAATCTTAACTATAATGTCTTAGTATTTTTTGAAGTTATATTGATTTAATCCTCATCGAATATGTGTTTTCTATAAGCTTAAAAATCTGTAGAAGAATATTCCTCACTTGATTTCACAGTCTGTCCCTGTGGCCGTTCTGTGATGATGCACTTTTTGCCCTTTTCTCGTAGCGCTCCCAGGTTTGAATTTAGGCAGCTGCTTTTTACAGCTACAAAACTGTCGGCTGTATCAATCTGACATGTTCATCAGCGACCTGTTCTGCCTCATCACATACCGCAGTGCGCCCGGTAAACATTAATTTATAACAAAATAATGTGAATAATATGAATCATAATCGGGCATAACTGATCAAATCTGACATCTAAAAAGCGAGCACAGTGGAATGGAATGAGAGTAAGACAAAATAATCTGCTGTGTTTGTGTACAACCTGCATGTGAGTGTGTTTGGGTGCTTACCCACCACTTAGCCACTTATGCTAAGATGTTGTGTTTAAAGCTGTCTTGTTGCAAAAAAGCAGACACACATACATGTACACTCAGAATAACTGGTGTCCTTTGTGCCTTTGTGCGCATGCCTCCTAGTACCTATAGCACGCAGCTGATGACGTAGTTAAATGTAGCACAGGCATACACAGAGGCATACCTAAAGCCTAGTAATGAGATTTGTAATGTGCTTATATCCTTTCTTTCATTCAATGGAGGGATTGAGAGAAGAGAGGGATTAGGTATGTATTATCGCACTCTGTGGAGGGAGGGACAGGGGCATGGAAGGAGAAAGAGGTTATGAAAGTAGAATAGAGGGTTTGGACAGCGTATAATCCTCATATGTAGAGAAAACGGTCAGGTAGTGGCAAGGACATATGGAAAGAAAAACCATCGAGATGGAATCTGATGTAGATGATGGGGAATCGAGTAGGAAGGGCTGTTACTGTGCACCACCCGCAGAAGAGAGAAGAGCAAAGTTAAGACTGACATTGTCATATATCAAAATGTCACATCTAAATATGAGAAAATAAAGGAGGACTCACAAGTAAAGCTAGACCGAGGAGAATGGGGAATAAAATCCTTCCTCAACAATGGGACGAGGGTGTCCTGACACTACGTGTTGAGGAGTCAAAGGCCATTATTTTCTAATTAGGATTTGTAGTCTGAAACGTTCCCTCTGTTGGCTGGTGGTTCATCGATGCTGTATAAATACACCTTGTTCCAATTATTGTCTGGATTTATTTAATGGAGGACATGTAGAGGTTAATCACCAGATGCCTCAGAGTTAGCTTTAGGAAGAATGACTAATACAAATGACAGACTTCTTTCCCCCCTCTTGTTGTGAGCTGTATTTTCATGCTATGATTAAAGTAGAAGACTGGCTGGTAGAACAATAAGTAATAAGTATCTGTGCCTAATCTAAATAAAATAAACGCCAATGGTCTTTAAGTCGTAATCTTCCCTTTTCTCCTTCCTTGCCTGTTTTGGATCATCTTAGAAAAGATAGTTTTTTCTGTCAGGTACCAAAACAAATTTTAGCTTTAAATTAAGTTACTTGTCTTTCCGTACATGAGGATACTTTGGCTTTTTTCCGTGTGTGTGAGTGTACGGCAATGTGTCTTCCTTACTAATTTGTCCTTTATGTGAAGACATTTCTTTACGTTTTTTGTTTCCTACCTCTCGTGCAGATATGTGCTCATTTCTGCACATACTCAACAGGCTTGCGTGGCTAACGTAGTTCGCAGAGCTATTGTTTGCTGTGCAGCCATTGTGTTTCTTGTCTAACATCACAGTGGGGGGATGGTCACAGGTGTGTTTACAGTGAAAGGTGACAGTGTGGTGTGTTCAGCCAGCTCCCATATTTACATACAGTCGGGGCTGGAACCATATGGCTTTATTAACTTGAGGAGGGCCAACAAATTTCATAGGGAGGGTCTCACAATCAACCAAAGCAAAGAACAGAGAAGCTCAGATCACAAAACACAAAATTGTATTATATTGTCTGCTCAGGATGACATTAATCCACCATATGGTTACATGGAAGTCATTAATGACTGCCATATTGATGTTTAAATCTCATATGTATAATCCATCAGAATCTACAGAGGTTTCTAAAAACCAAGATAAGAGATATTTACCTAGTGTTCTTGGGAGGTAGATGCAGCTCAGGAGAGTGACAAAGCAAGCTGATATCACTCTGAGATTGTCTCCTCCACAAATTGCAAATAAAGAAATACCTCTGAGCACAATAGCTCTATCTAGTCACATCAGCTGATATTGAGCTTTGGGAGGAGAGCTGCAGTGTGCAGAGAGGGAGCAGGCAGGTGAAGAATGTCAAGGGAAGAGGTATAAAATTGACACCAGCCTGGGAGGCTGGGAGTGAAGTGAGGGTAGAGAAGCTAAGGAGTGGGAGTGAGGTGTTTTCAGTGCAAGAGAACGTCTGTGTGTGTGTGTTTGTGTTTGTGTGTGTGTGTTTATGAGTGCCATGTTGAGCAATCTGTTTGTATA